GCTTAGCGCCGTGGTTTTGCAGTGTCATGGGCCTCGCCTCTCCTAATATTATATAAATATTCTTTAGTGGGGTTATTAATCCATCTTGATTGCTTGCCTGAAATGTATGCTCGTGTCTTTTGCTGGAAGAATTCTGTGAAGGCAGCCACTTGAAACACAAGGATGCAACTCCCTGCAGGGTTGGCATCAGGCTTTAAATAACGGGCATGTTCTGTGGCTGCATCCAAACGCTTGGTGGCAACATCTCTAATTGGGGTTGTACTTGAGGTCCTAATTCGTTGCGATTTTTAAACTAAGTAAAGAGCCTTCTGGAGAGAGAACCTACCGCCTCTTTCTATTCAGTTAAGAAACATATGACTCATCTTTTGCTTTTCATGGTGGAGCAGTTTAATTTTTCTGGTTTACTTCCCCTGCTCTGTTGGATCACTGAGGCGAGGGCAGAGATTTTATGATTTTGGGGTCCAAGCCCTGCGGAGTTCTCAACTCCGGCTGTCCTGCTTTAGGCTACAGCCAAAGGGGATCAGGGAGTGAAGGGCTTAAGAGGATAGAACTTGAAGAGGCTACTGCAAAAGACCCAAGGACGACTGCCCACTGCTCAGGGGAAGCCATCTCTTTGTTCTTGCCTCACCTGGAGGGGTAGCTGTGGACTCATGCAGCCAGTGTATCCTGCTGAGCCTGGGCTGATGCCAGATGGAAGCGGGACACCCAAGCTGGCATGGAGGGGATTCTACTTAGCAGGCAGGTCTCACTGTAATCTCGAGCTTGAAGACTTAGATGAAAGGACCTTCATTTTCCTGAAAATCACAATGAGTACCAGAACTTTCCGCCGAACAGCTTCCCCTCTCCCTAGGTCTGCAAAAGCACGTGGGAGTAGAGAACCCACCGAGGACAAAGCCCCACTGCTAAGGAGGTCCCTCCTGAAGGTAGGAAAGTGGACCACACCTGCTTTCTAGTCCATTTACCCAGCAAGCAGTTGGAGGCCAACTTCCACGCCTTTGTTCACGCTGTTGCCCCTGCCTAGTATGCCTTCCCTTGCACCCACCTACTGAAATCATAATGGTCAAGGCCCAACTCAGAATCTGCCTCTAAGTTAAAGCCTTCCTCGGTATCTCTCCAACCCTCCCTCCTTCCTTCCACTTCCTCCTCCTCCCCACCAACCCAGCAGTATCGCGGGGTGCCTTTGGGACTAAATGAATGTGGGTTTAAAATGACTCTCCTATCTAATCACCTCGTACATTTAGAACCTTTGGAATGTTGACGTCACAGTTCTGAGCCTCAGTTTCTTCATCTGGAGGACGAAAAATGCCAACCTTCTTAAGGGGGTTGTTTTGCAGATTAAATGAGATCACACATAAAATGAATGACAGCAGGTCTCTGACCTCCAGGTGCTTCTATTAATTGATTAAAACCATGACACAAGATAATATCACTATCACAAAAGGGACACAGAATGCTTCAGCCGTACGGAGAAATAAAAAGAGGTTTTGTCATCCTGAATGATCTGGAAAAGTAAATGGAAGGGTGGGCATTAAGCCTCTTGAAGAAGGGGTAAAATCCACCAGGTAAAGCTGGCAACCAAGGATGAAGGAGGGAAGTCAGGCTGTGTCCAGAGAACCAAAACAGCAAGCTTCCGCAGAGATATTTTTTTGAAAATAGAGTTAGTGACAACCCTGGAGTCAAAATAAAATGAAAATAAGAGGGTTTTTTTCCTTAGTTTTAAACTTTCAGAAATCAAGCTTTTCCAAGCATGGACTGACAGCATTAGAGTTGTCTTCAGAAAGGTCAACTTGGTGATTGCGTACGGCACAGTTTAGAAGATATCCATTGGCCAGGTAAGAGGACAGTGCACTCACCCATATCGAAAACAGCAGCCTTAATTCTGGAGCCAATGAAATTGCCCTGATTAGATGGGGGACGGGAGACGGACATGACAAAGAGGACTTACTCTTGGTGAGGTGGAGTAGGGTGGAGCCTTTAAGGGAAAGAGAGACACTTAGAGAACCACGTTTGACATGCTGCGATGGAGACGCCAGGAAGAAGAGCCATCCCATAGGAACTAGAAGCAAGAGAATGGACGCTAAAAAAGAAACTGGCATCCAAGGTAAAGCTCAGGGGTCTAGCCCTATGAATGAGATCATGAAAATTGTGTGGACGGATGAGATGCCCAAAGACCGAGGGTAGGAAGAAAAGAGGACTGAGGACAGAAGCGTACGTAATGCTGACATTTAGGGAGTAGAAACGTGAAACAAGATCAGAATAAAACAATGTCAGGTCTAAACGTGATATTTTCCCTTCATCTGCAATGTTCTCTAATGTTCCCTTCAGTTAAAATACCATCATCTTTCAAGGTTTAACAAAATTCTTACAAAACAATGACTAGTAGCTTGAGTTTACTGAGCATGGGCCGAATGCCAGTCACTATATTAAACAATTTGTATGTATTATCTCTCTCCCATAACCGTACGATGCAGGTACATCAATTATGCCCATTTCACAGATGAGGAATTCAGATTCCTTACCTCAAATCGGTAAGGCTTACCGATTTGCCAAGGCTTACCAGGTAAGAAACAAACCCAGGGCGTCTGGCTCCAAAAATCAAACTTTACCTTCTCGGTTGTACTGTCGTTAACTAGTCTCTGGTATATTTGGAGGAAAAGCCACACGTCTTAATTTTTGAAGCTCTACGGTGCTTCTGGGAGCACCCCATTTGAGAACCCTGCCGTATTCTGCAATGGGTGATAGCAAATCTGGCCTCCTTGTTGACCACATGTGACTAACTGCTCTACCTCTTGGGTCTCAGTACCTCCCTCGCAGGGCGGGTGTAAAGGTTAAATTGGTGAAGCATGAGTAAAGTGTCTGTGTGCTGTTACCATTACGGTTACTATTGCTGTTGTTGTCGGTACTCCCCCTGAGCTCCAGTCTCTTCCTGAACCTACTCCCAATTTTCCTCTGGAAGTCCAAGGTCACTGGCACCACTCAGCTGTGGTGGTCTTTGTTTGAGATTGGTGGCCATCCCAGGAAAGCAGCATTTCACAGGGGCCTCGCTGGCGATGGAATGCCCCAGGGGTTTGAACACTTGGGGTGAGACGCCTGAGGGCCGTGCAGCAGATCCAGGAGAGGGGTCTGAGCCCCTATTCCCTTCCTGCTAACAATGCCAATGCCTCGTGTGCCCTTGGGAGAGCCGAGGGGAGCCGAGAGCTGGGCAGCGCGCTTACAATTCAGCTTAAAGAGACAGTGCGGCGCAAGCAGAAGGTTCCCCCACATCAGCCAGCTCCTCCCCTTCCCCATCCAGAGCTGATGCGTCTGCTGTGGTCCCATTTGTGGCCTATTCCCAAGCAAGAGTCTACCCTAAAGCACACCCTCTACCCAGCCTTTCCCTTGGATTTTACCACCAGCTGCTCCTGCCAAGGCTCGCTCCCGCGCTCGGCTTCCAGGAGGGGAAAGCATATGGACCGCGATTTGTTGCCAAAACTGATCAGAGAACAAAACTCCGTTCTCATACAAATTGCACAGTACCTGTTTCCTTCTCCTTGCCGACAATAAAAATGAAGCTCCTGCTCAGGGAGCTATCTTTCTTGAAGGAAGTATTTTTCATTCAGATCTAACTCCTCACTCAGTCATTTCTCACCTGCTCAAACACCCTGATCACCGGGGAAAAGGACTATAAATAACTAAAATGATAATTTTCTTAAGAACTGTGCTTTATACACAATAATATCCGGACCTTTCCACTGAAATCCGCTGATAATTTTAGAACTTTCCTTGCAGAGGTGGAAAAGGATCCACAGTATTTTTTAAATTTTAATTACTCACTGAATGAAATCTGAAAGTATTTAATTATTAGATTTATGCCTCAAGATAAGTTCAATGGTAATTACAGGATGTCTTTTTTTTTTTTCCATTCTAATTCCAAATAATTAAATCCCAAACACACTGAATCACTATGATTATAATTACAATAAAGGTGTCTCATATTTGAAACCAAAGTTTGGCTTTTGGTGTAACCTTTTTGCACCTCGCCGAAAGGGGGATGCTTTGGAAAGAAATCGGTCTCAGTCTCTCTAATGCTGCTTTAAAACAAAATAGAAAAACAGAATTGTCTGCAGGAGTGGTTTTCCACTGTAATACCAGCAGGGAGAAGGCAGGCCCCAAGCTTCCAGCTTGCTTGAGCGAAGTAGGTACAGCGAGATCATCGGGCAGTCGAGGAAGACAGTCTGAAAAATACTCCATCTCCCGGACTTCCAACTTGTCGATCGGTTTTGGGGTCACTTTTCTGAGCTCCCCTTCAATTAAAGGTGAATGAATGAAGATGTGTGGGTTTGGGTAGGCACTCTTACAGGGAGGCACACACGGACTAGAAAATCTAAAGCAAGATCCGCAGAATAAGATCTAAGGAAGGCTTGGAAGGCATTTCACATTTGGACCGGGCAATGGTAATTAATTGAGAACGAACGTGCCTATCTTTTCCCTGTGTTGATGAGGCTGTTGAAAAACACTTGTTAGGATGGTTCAAGCAGCACAGGAACTGAGCTTAGCCTCCTGCACACATCTCCACGTGGTGCTTTGGGATTTGGGAAGTGGGAAGGTGGTGGTTTGTGGTTTCAAGGAGGAGTTGTAAGGTGGGGATCCAGGAAGGAGAGGAGACGCGCGTCTTTAACCAGTAAATAAACCAAGCCCAGATGTCCTCCCCTGGCTGGTAGGCAGAAAGGGGAGCACTTGCTCATTGGAAAGCATTTAGAGGCCAGGGGGGTGAGGGCCTGCAAGGAGAGAAGCAAAAAGCCTGTAAAGAGAAGGCCAGAGAGCAATCATAATACTTAGAAAAATGTCACATTAAAACCTCCAGCTGCCGGCGGCTGGAGGGAAAAAGAGTTCCAGACAATAGCTGAGGAAACAAGTTGAATCTTGTGTTCATTCCTGCGGTTAAAACAAGTCTGTACGACCACAAGGAAAATTCCATTCTCCTCCAACCTTAACTCCCTGCTTACCTGAGCTGTAGACACTTTTGTTGAAAGGCTCCTTGAAGTCAGAAGGTGCCACGCTCGCGAAGGCCCGGCGTCTCTTCCGCCCAGGATTTTCTCTCTTCTTGCACCCTCACATCTTGCATACCACCTCCTCTCCTCTGAGGGTCCCGGTCACCACCCTGACTAGGGCAAGAGGACAGAAGCAGGGTTCAGGAAAGAATGAATTCCCCTGCCACCCTCCCTGTCCCCACCACAGGCTATATTCATTTTCTAAGTCTTGAGAACCATGGATGGCCCATGAAATTATTCACTAATCGAATAAATGTTTGTTGAATGCCTGCTCGGTTTCAGGCTCCAGACGAGGCCTTTAGGGAGGATAACCAAGGTCCTCCCTCGGCACAAGAAACATGAGCATCCTGCGCCTCTAACTGTTTGACAAACCAAGTGAAGCTTGGACCTTGCAAACATTGAACATCACCTTTTCCCTTCCTTCTTTGGGGTTTTTGTGGGTCCAGCTGGCAAGTGACCTGTCTGCTGGAGTCATTCCAGCCAAGTATCCCCCTCCCTCCCCAATAATTCCATCATCTCCTTTTTATCCCTATGAGACAAGCCTAGGTCACCTTGCTCTGGTCACTCTCCTATTGGAAGAAGGATATTATCAATAATTGTCCTAGGTCCAGAGGCAGGTAGAAGACAATTCCTGATTCAGGGAGGTCTGTTTAGCATACCCAGGAGAGGGAGAATCCATTTCAGAGAAACATGGATGGTGGGATCCAACATGTCTCCCAAGTGGGAAAATACAGGAAATGATCGAATACTATAGGAAGGAGGCAAGGTTAGCAGACTGTGGTACTTAATGGAGATTATAGCTCATTTACAGTCAAACTGGAAGATCTGTGGCTTGCCATGGCTTCTGTTGCTCGTCTTTACAAAGCGTTCAGTAAACTTCAATATGTGTTTAGTAATATATAAAGAGAGCTGTGGGTACTGGTCAGTGCCCTCAGGGAGCTTGTTGTAGTGGTGAGATTACAACTTTAATAACCAGTTCTCCAGAGGGGGGGAGAAAGCCCTATATTCTAGCTTTTGCCAATGTCTATGGTATAAATACTCCCACAGTGGTTGATTTTAAGGTGCCAGCATGAGGAGTCCGGAGGAAATGCCTACAATCAGCTCGTGCTGGTTACTATGAACTAACTCCAGAACACCAAAGGCTTATACTCTAATCCTCTCAGACAGAGAAACACAGGGCACATTGGCAAAATCTCCTGATCAATTGACTGATTGGCATCGGATAGAAAATCTTTAGCCAAGACCCAGAGGGGAGCATGAGTTAGGGAGAGCAGAAAAAAATGACCACATGTCTAAACTGGAGACTGAGAACAGTATCTCTGTTTCCCCTTCTGGTCCCCCAGAAGCACGGAGCACCGCGGGCTGTTAGAGCAGGCAAAGACCGTGCGGATAATCAAGACCAATCCCCTCATCCAGGCCCTTCCAGAAGGGGACCTGGATCGTGTAGGCATGGGGTGATTTAGATAGGCTCTGCTTCAGACACACTTTCGTGGACAGTTTAGGACTGGGGTATCGAGCAGGAACCTAATAAACTAGGTTATTAAAGAAGAAAAACACTCAGAATCCTCTGGGGCCCTCTGAGAACCCATAGAGGACAAGTAACAGGCTCTACAGCTCATGGAAAGTGGATGGAGGTGCCACCAGCCTGAAACCACAGACTCTGACTCTGTCTGAATTTGTTATTCGGTGACTTGCCCCGGACAACCCTCTCTGGCACCACAAAAACAAACCCGCACGGCCGCCTTAGCTTTTGAATCATTGGTGAGGAATAAGCTCTGTCTAGGAAGGAAAAAAAAAAATACATTCCCATGTGCAGAACCCCAGCAAGAATTTTCTAGGCTGCATCTCTTGGGCAAATGTAATGGGACGGCAAAGTCTTTGGTGCTGAGGGAGCTCCAGCTCCTTCCTGCCTGTAATTCATGATCCCTGAGACAATTATGAGCAATGAAAAGGCGTAAGTCAAAGGAACATCGAGTAGAGCGAGATTTAGGAAAATAACACATTACATTTAAATATCCATATATATTTAATCTGTGTTTAATAATGCAAAGAATACATTAGTCAAGGCTTAGGCAGATTCCACGTTGACGTTAGCTACAGAACAGCCTGGGCCTCTGAAGTTTCCCAGCCTTGGCGCCACGGGAATGAAAACTTCTGGAGGAATGGAGCGTGTCATTGCAAACCTGGGGCACTGCAGAAATGCAAATGTTGGGATTGCGGAGGTCACCACAAAGTCGGGCTTGCTGCAAAGAATAGAACGTAGGGTGAGCTAAAGAAAGCCAAGCTCCAGTCCCTAGGCAGACTGACTTCATCTGCCACCCTCTGCAAGGCAGGGCAGGGAGCAGAAGGTAATATCGTGGAGGGACAGAGGGACCAGGATTGCTATTCCCGTTGTTATTTTAGCTCAGCTCTCTTCTCCTGTCCTCGGGCTTTAATTCTAGACTACCAGATGGGGAATGGCTGCCTGGGCCCCAGGGGAAAGTCAGCACATGTCTCCAGGGGGCAATTCCCCAGACTCCGAGGCTCTTACTGCCATCTGGAGGGTGAGTGTACTCAAGGATGAAGGAGGAGTCACAAGCATGCCCAGCCTTTAGTGTAATCAGGCTTCTCCAAAAGCTGGAAAGGGAACCAGTGGGGACACAATGCAGTATACGCCAAGTGGCATCTAGAACCTGGAGAGAAGTAAGAGTCTGGACAGCCAAGAAGTAGAAGAAATCCCCCTGCTTTGATTCACTGTCACGCAATGTAACAATCAGGAAGCCCCAAGTGCTTTGAGCTTCTTGCACTATGGGCAGCTCATTCCCTAGACTCTAGAATCTCGCTCTAGGCTCTAATGAACTCACGGTCCCAATAAGGCAGTTGCAAGAACAAAGTTGCAACGAGAAAGTATCTCAAAGACTATCAAACCCCACGTCCTAAATGTTACGGAGAAGAAGACTGAAGCCCATAGAGGCAATGCAAATCATCCAAGGTTGGCCAATGGTCACAGCTCTCTCACTCCAAGGATCTATCCACATACAACACTGCCCCTCCTATTAAGCACTACGTTCAGTTTTGATGGTCTGTAGTAAAGGAAGGCAAACCTGCATTAAATACCAGGCATGGTGCTAAAAGCTTGAATATATATTATCTCCAAAAGAGTAAACACTAGTCTAGCTCAATAAAAGTTTACCATCACATAGAAAACTTGGCTGTAATGCTGGCTCTGTTATTTTTCAACTGTATGATGTTGGATTCGTCATGGCACTTCTCCAGGTGTCATTCTGCCTCTGGCACCTAGTGTGACCATCTCCCTGGTTTGTAGAACCTCCATATGTCACCCACTGAATCACAGAATCAGTGCTAGTCTAGTCCAAAGCACAAAAGAAGAGACGGGGCAAACGAAACTTAGATGGGGAAGTGAATGAATGTGCCTCTCACAAATTCACAAATGCCCGAGGGAAGCAGAACGGTGATCAGGTTCAGATATGACCCAACCTATATTCTTGAGTGAGCGCTAAAACACCCCTGTTTCCCCACTTGCACTTGGAATATGCTTGTCCCAACTCCATTCCCTGTGAGAGTCATTCCCTGAGTGGACACCGTCCGAGTTATTCCCGGAAAAAGATGGTGGGGGATGCGGGGACCACCTCCCTAGTTTGTTTCAACCTTCCTTCTTGCAAGAACCGAGTCCCTAAGGATTCAAATTATCTGGAATTTCCTCATCCCACCCAGGACTCCTCCCTTGGAGGGAAAGCCAGATTACCTTTTAGTGTCTTTTCAGGTTAAGCCTAACGTGGAGAAGCATGCTCATTCTGGCAGTTGGCACTTGGAAAAAAACATGAGCTGTGACTCACCAGTCATCTTGAGCCAAGTATTTTGAATTTGCTCAGGACAGGAAAACGGCCAGGGGGGGTGGGCAGGGGAGGAGAGGGGAGGACCCACGTAGTTGATGGCTAACAACTAACCAACTCTGTTCCAAAAAGGCAAGTACAGGGGAGACTCTCAGAACATATGCTTCTGTTCTTGTTGTTTCGCTGCCAGGAGCCTCCTAAATCATGGTGAAATGGCTGCTTTCTGCCTGCCTCGATCATGTATTATGGGGCATTAATAAATAATGGGAGGTTGTAGGACCAAAAGGCGGGAAAACCCAAAGGGAAGGTGATGGAGAGGCATAATTTAACAAGTAAATGAAAGAAGCTATTAAATCATAGTTAAATTATGCTGGCACTGGAAAAAAAAAAGGGGGGGGGTATTTCTCACTGCAAAATGCTTTCAATAAAATATGAAATTTCTCTCCTGGCTGACAGAGGCATCTTCCAATCATAAGGATAGAAGTCTGTGACCTGTGGCTCCCATTAGATACCGAGCTCAGGCAAGGGCCCTGAGGAGGGAGAGTTTCAAGGTGTTTCTCAGTCCATATTTTTCCTAGGATGGTTCCACATTCACCATTTGAATACTCATCTATGATCTGCCTCTTGCTGGTGGCCCCGGTAGCCAGTTCATTAATTTTATGCCCACCTTTCCATTGACTCCTTTTGGCATACTTTGGGGTTCCCACCCTGGAGGAGGGGCAATATCAAAGTTGTGACTTAAAAAATAACTTACGTCATGTACAGTTTTATGCTTTCTCAGGTACCATTGTATTTATTAACTATTTGACATTTATGATAACACTGTCAGGTAGGAGATCGACTCTTTGGGTGGGAAAGCCATGTCTTATTCCTATTGGTATGCCCAGAACCCAGAAAAGTGCACATTTAAAAAACACTGAATTGGATGGATGGATGGATGGATGGATGGATGCATTCATGCATGCCCGGGGAGGTGAATGAATGAATGAACTCCCATCTTGGAACTGAGAGGCTCAGAGAGGTTAAGTGACTTGTCCAAGACTGAACTAGATAGTGTGGCAGTTAAAACTACCAGAAAGGCTTTCAGAATCTCAACCTGTGCTTTTCAACACAACATGTTGTCTCTCTTCAAGGTCACACAGTAAACTAGATCAAAGCCAGTATATGGGACCCCTGTAAGTTCACACAAGCAAAAAAGCAGACACGTTTTTTTTCTCTGTTGGGATTGTGTTTTCAACTGTGGCAAAGACTGTTGTTGAGCATCTGAAGGACTTTGA